TTGTTTTCTGCTGCTGCTGATGCTGCTGCTTTTTTTTTTTTTTTCTCGCTTTTAATGTTACTTGCTGTTTTTCTTTATTTTGTAAGGCTTTCCCGTTCCCTTGTAACCCAGTTTCAACTTGGATCTTCTTCGGCATCAATTTTTTAGTTTGCTCCGTGTTTTGTAATCCTCAGATTTCCGTTTGCTCTTTTTTTTTTTGTTTTTTTTTTTACAGTGCCACACAGTAATTATCTAAAAGAAAGTTTTTCCCAAACAGAACAATTTAGTTGCCACAATTACTGGTAGTTTCTTTTTTTTCCTTCTTCTTCTTCTTTTTTTGTCCCGTTCCACTTAATCGTATCCTGTCTATTTTTGAAAACCGTACAATTAAACTTTTGAATGCAAAAAAAAAGGGAAAGAAATAGCTGAAAAAAAAGTTTTGTATTAAATTTTAATCGTTTTTAATTTACTGCACAGTGTTTTTTTTTTTCATCTATCAGTTGTTTCGATCATTTCTGATCATCTATTTAGCCAAAAATTATTAAAATTTCAGCTTGTTTTGTCCAGCAAAGTTATGAAGCAAATTTTACAACTACAAAACTATTATTCAAACACGATTTTTTTCTTTTTTTTTTGTAATTATAAAGCTAACGACAAATGAAAAATAAAAAAGTAAAATTTTTCTTACAGCATACCAACTTCTTTTTCTGTGCATTTATCTGAAACCTTCCTTAACAAGTCCTTAAATTATTCAAGTCTTTCCTTCATTTTGAAACTAATTACTCTTCGGACCATAAGCCAAAAGATACAGTAACAAAAGAACAACTTTTTTTAAAACAAACTTTAGGTCAATTTTCTGTGTTTCATTTCTGTCTTTATCTATCTATTCTTCTGATTTTTACAACAACTAACTGTCAATAAGGTGAATAATTGGTGAGCAGAAGAAAGAGAATACCGATCTATTCGATGAATCATTGGGACGATCGTCATATTTTGTCGTCCGGTGGTGGGTCTTAGTAGTGCTGAAATCAAATAATGTTCCATCGCAAAACTGCTGTTGCCTTTCTTTTTTGTTGTTCCAATATTTGCTTCTTTTTTTTTTTTTTGTCAATCATCTTTTTTTTACACCATTAATTTACATTTATCTATACGTGTTTATTAGACATATAAATATAAAACTCTACATACATATATTATTGTGCCAGATATATCTTCAAAATATTGATCTTAATATGCATGAATAGAAATATATACACACGTACACACACAAAAAGATTTATAAATTTAAAGAATTTATAAAAATTGAAATAAAAACAAAACAAAAAAAACCAAGGCAAAGAGAATAAAACAACAATACTTTCATCCTTTTTTTTTTTTTTTTTTTGCTATTAAATAACAACAAAAAAAATGATGACAAAATGTTCTGAAAACAAAAAAAAAACACTGAAACTGGAAAACAGGCAGCAATTTTTAGCTTTGCTTTAAAAAAAAAATCATGAAGAAATTTTATTGGATTATAAATTA